AAGACTTTCAAAACCCGGAATATGGAAATCCCAGTTGGCAGATTATTTTGTTTTTCCTCAGTATCTTCTTCCATCTGACCACAATGCCATGTGTGAACCTAGAAACCAGTGTGGCAGAGTGGAAGGAGCACTGGGTATTTAGAAGTAAAATTGCTGAGTCATTGTTTGTTAGCTGGGAGACTCTGGACAAGTTACATGATGTTAGTGAGCCTGTTTTCTCATCTATAAAAATGTTCATTCATTCATTCAGCAAACATTTACCAAAGGCAAAATATGACCCAGATGTTGAGGATAGCAGTGATGGGAACAGAGTTTATCTAGAAGGCAAGAAAGATGATTAAATAATTACCCTAACACAGATAGGGATTATGGTAGCAGTGTAGGTACAGGAAGGACACAGAGCAGGACCTCTAACCTTTAATGAGGTCAAAAAGGCTTTCTAAGGGGAACCATGTTTCAGCTGAGACTTAAAGGATGAGCAGAGGCCAGGAGATTCAGTGATGATGGCTGGGGTTGGAGTTGGGGGATAGTTGTGGGTTCCAAATATAGAAGCTTGTGTGAGGTCCCAAAACAAAAGGGAACCACAGAGCTTAAGAAATGCAAAGGCATTATAAACCATGAGAGCAGCTGGTTGCCATTGCTTGCCCTCTTTATGTTGCTTTTTCGGAGTTAGTGTAATGAAGAGAAAATCACACAGGAAAAAACAAAAACTAGAACCCTGTTTGCCGTGTTCACCACGAGCCAAGATTACTATTTTGGATGTTATTTGCTCTTTAGATTATTCATCTGTGAAATTGGGCAAGAAATTCCTCCTCTTCTCACATTACAGTGGACTAAAGGAAGAAATGTTCACAAGAGCCTTGGAAGTGTTAAAACGAGTTACAAGTGCAGGATCTTGATAGGACTTTCTCTGACCATAAATAAACCCATACCCTTTCCAATGCCAATTTGAAGACCAGAGAAGTGATTGCATTGGTGTTTCCATTCCCAAAGGATCAGAAAATAAATAGCAGTTTCTTTCTGATTGGTTTGGTGATATTTCATTCCAGTTCATAATCGGATTTTGTCTAAGAGAGAATGCTTTTAACAAAAGGGTTTTTTAAATTGTAATATCTGTGATTACTCTGCCTGGCTGGTTAGGGCTGCCTGCCAGTTAGCCTTGGGGTTGGGGGCTTACTTGTGTATAAACCTGAGCTCTGGCAAGGTGTGCTTTCAATTGGAGTGAAATCAGATAAGAGATGTGGCCACTGAACACTGGTGCTATTGGTGGCTTCTGCTCTCTTTGGGGGCCTCCCTGGGGTCCATTGCACCAGACCCTCTGTAATCTCAAAGCCCTCTACAGTCACACCACCTCCTCCTCAGAAGGTGTCTTCACTGCCTTTGCAAACCCATGCCATCCGCATAGTTGGCCTCAACTCAAGCTAGTCTATCCTCCCCAGCTCACCTGAACTCCCCTGCCCTGCCCCAGAATGTCCAGCCCTCCATGTGACACCATACAGCACAGACTAGCACAACCTTCATCTCCAAACTACCCCCCTCTAAAACCCAATCCTACACTGAGCTCTCCCCCCTCTAATAATGCTGCATTTTCACACTTTCTGATATTTAGTTTACAGTTCAATTGCTGGGGCCAGCAGTTGGCATAATGGCTATGTCGCTAGACTCCCATGCAGTCGATCACAGTTCGAGTCCTGAACCCAGCGGTGGCTTAAACTCATGCCAGGCGGGTGTGCGTGCGTGCATGCGTGCATGCGTGCCCAAGATCCCGAGAGGAGAATGGAGGAGAAAGGATTGATGCGTGGCCATGCCCCCTGGGGGGTGATTTCTCCTTTTCTGTCTCTCTGTCTCTGTCTTTCTGGCGAGTGCACGCGCCCAATAGCAAAAACCTCTCCAAATAAATAATTCAATTTCTATGATTATTTTTGAAAATAAACTTTGCAGGGCATTTTTAGTCTACAAAGAATTCTGGTACATATTATATAACTTTCATGACAACCCTAGATGATTAGTGAGGTCGATGTTATCATTATCTTCCTAGTTTAGAGATGAAGACCCTGAGGCTTACAAGGTTCCATGGCTTGCCCTCCTACCTGGGTAAGCCAAGCAGGGCTAAGATTGCCTTCAATTTCTTGAAGAAAAAGGGTGGGAACCAGTTCATATGCTCCTTTTTTTCCCTCAGCACTATGTTGATCACATAGTAGGTACTTACCTAACACTTTTTTAAATGAAATCACATGCCGTATGGATTTGAAAATAATTAAAATGGCATATTTAATGATGTATATAATTGTAGGTACTAGCAGCTTCTCCATGTATAAAATATATATATGTGTGCAAGACCAGGAGATGGAGTGATGGTTACATCGCTGGACTCCCATGTGTCAACTGTGGTTTGAGTCCCAGACTCAGCGGCTTAATACTCATCTTGGGCACCTGTGCATGCATGCCTAAAATCCCAAAAGGAGAATGGAGCAGAAGGGATTATGGTGTGCCCATTCCCCCCCCCAGGGGATGATTTCTTGCTTTCTTTGTCTCTCTCTCTCTCCTTGACACTCTGGTGAGCACACGTGCCCTGTAACAAAAATCTTCCCTCCCCCCCAGAAAATATACATACTTGTAGCATTATTTTTATTTTAGTGATTCAGTAAACAACCTAAGGGAAAGTCTCACATACTTTGTACAAAGCCCCCTCACCCCCAACCCCAGGGGTCAGTCAGGAATGCAGGTACCACTCCCTTTGCTCACACTGGCTGGCTTCTGGCTTCTGAAAATGGATTGGAATGCAATTGTCAGAACTTGCTCAGCAGGGTGGACATGCTTGGCCAGCCCTTGGGAATTGGGTTCATTTGTGCCTGAGGAGGGCTAGGTTACCCAGCTTCAAGCTAGCGGGCCTCAGCTCCACTCTATAGCCTGGCGCCAGAGTTGCCCTGGTAGGGTGGCATGGGGGTGGTATCCATCGCTTCTGCTCTCTTTGGGGGCCTCCCTGGGGTCCATTGCACCAGACCCTCTGTAATCTCAAAGCCCTCTACAGTCACACCACCTCCTCCTCAGAAGGTGTCTTCACTGCCTTTGCAAACCCATGCCATCCGCATAGTTGGCCTCAACTCAAGCTAGTCTATCCTCCCCAGCTCACCTGAACTCCCCTGCCCTGCCCCAGAATGTCCAGCCCTCCATGTGACACCATACAGCACAGACTAGCACAACCTTCATCTCCAAACTACCCCCCTCTAAAACCCAATCCTACACTGAGCTCTCCCCCCTCTAATAATGCTGCATTTTCACACTTTCTGATATTTAGTTTACAGTTCAATTGCTGGGGCCAGCAGTTGGCATAATGGCTATGTCGCTAGACTCCCATGCAGTCGATCACAGTTCGAGTCCTGAACCCAGCGGTGGCTTAAACTCATGCCAGGCGGGTGTGCGTGCGTGCATGCGTGCATGCGTGCCCAAGATCCCGAGAGGAGAATGGAGGAGAAAGGATTGAGGCGTGGCCATGCCCCCTGGGGGGTGATTTCTCCTTTTCTGTCTCTCTGTCTCTGTCTTTCTGGCGAGTGCACGCGCCCAATAGCAAAAACCTCTCCAAATAAATAATTCAATTTCTATGATTATTTTTGAAAATAAACTTTGCAGGGCATTTTTAGTCTACAAAGAATTCTGGTACATATTATATAACTTTCATGACAACCCTAGATGATTAGTGAGGTCGATGTTATCATTATCTTCCTAGTTTAGAGATGAAGACCCTGAGGCTTACAAGGTTCCATGGCTTGCCCTCCTACCTGGGTAAGCCAAGCAGGGCTAAGATTGCCTTCAATTTCTTGAAGAAAAAGGGTGGGAACCAGTTCATATGCTCCTTTTTTTCCCTCAGCACTATGTTGATCACATAGTAGGTACTTACCTAACACTTTTTTAAATGAAATCACATGCCGTATGGATTTGAAAATAATTAAAATGGCATATTTAATGATGTATATAATTGTAGGTACTAGCAGCTTCTCCATGTATAAAATATATATGTGTGCAAGACCAGGAGATGGAGTGATGGTTACATCGCTGGACTCCCATGTGTCAACTGTGGTTTGAGTCCCAGACTCAGCGGCTTAATACTCATCTTGGGCACCTGTGCATGCATGCCTAAAATCCCAAAAGGAGAATGGAGCAGAAGGGATTATGGTGTGCCCATTCCCCCCCCAGGGGATGATTTCTTGCTTTCTTTGTCTCTCTCTCTCTCCTTGACACTCTGGTGAGCACACGTGCCCTGTAACAAAAATCTTCCCTCCCCCCCAGAAAATATACATACTTGTAGCATTATTTTTATTTTAGTGATTCAGTAAACAACCTAAGGGAAAGTCTCACATACTTTGTACAAAGCCCCCTCACCCCCAACCCCAGGGGTCAGTCAGGAATGCAGGTACCACTCCCTTTGCTCACACTGGCTGGCTTCTGGCTTCTGAAAATGGATTGGAATGCAATTGTCAGAACTTGCTCAGCAGGGTGGACATGCTTGGCCAGCCCTTGGGAATTGGGTTCATTTGTGCCTGAGGAGGGCTAGGTTACCCAGCTTCAAGCTAGCGGGCCTCAGCTCCACTCTATAGCCTGGCGCCAGAGTTGCCCTGGTAGGGTGGCATGGGGGTGGTATCCATCTGCAACATTAGAACAAAATGCTCAACAATTTTAGGACACTCTGGCTACCTAACAGACTTGAGGAGCAGATTTTTTTTGTCTATTTGCCCGGAATAATACCAGTTATAATCCTAAATATTTGTACAGCTCCTAATGGCCTGGATCCATAGTCCTGTGTCTGCTTTGATGCAAGGACCTGTGAGGCAGGCAGCCACTTCTAGCTGCTTGTCTGTCAGGAGGTAGGTATGTGCATATGATCAGACCTTGGGAACAGGATCAAAGGGCTGGGAGACAGGCACTGCTCCCTTCTAGCACTCGCTTTCCGTCTCCTGCCAGAGAGGCAACACATGCTATCATTTTCTTGTGTATTCTTCTAGATTTCCCCCCATTTTGGAGATGAAGAAACTGAGACCCAAAGCAGACCAGTGACTCTTCCAAGGACACACCCTGAGTAAGTCCTACCTTAGTTTGTGAGCAACCTGTGCTCCCAACTCTCAAAAAATTCTTTAGCCAAAACCTTGGCTCATATAAACACTTACAAGGGCATAGACAAATAATGCCAGGCAAAAGTCAAAGCCAGAACAGGAGGCCAGGATGTGTAGATTCCCTCTCGAGGAGTATGACTGCTTACTCCTCCTTGCACTAGAAGAACATCTACTCCCTTTCCTGCTGCTCCAAGCCACTCCCATCCCTGTGACCCCATCCTGCCTTCTAACTGCCAGGGCAGAGGCCAACACTCAGGCTGCTCTGCTTTATCAAAGTGGTCCTACCCCATGTCCTACTCATTTGGTCTGATAAAAAGAGATATATTCTGGGCTGCATAGGAGAGAGTCTTAAAATGGGTGCCATACTAGAGACAGCCCAGCCTTGAGGCCATGTTGTAGAGAGCCCAGAGACTAGGTTGAGTTCCCTGGCCACCTCCCCCATCCCACCCAACTCCCAGTGGCTTGGAGTACTTTCCATAAGGTCTTCCATTAAGTTTTGAGGTCCCCAGGCATGGATGGGGCAGAGGTAGTCAGTGGGGAGGAATAAAGAGGCAGAGCTGAGGGAAGGGAGTATGTGTGTAGCTTCTATGGTCACCCCTTGCAGCCTGCAGCTTAGGCTGTTTCTTCCCTGCACACTCTCAAATCACACATCCCTGCCATCTCCTTGAGGAAGGGTATTTCAGGGCTAGAGAGAAAGATGTTTGGACACACTGAGGGGATCAGGAGTGTAACCAGGAGAGCTTAGAGCTCTATTTGCATGGAGGCAATGGAAGCTACACTTGATAAGGCCGAGACAAATGTCATCCATATCAAAGAAAGATGATGAGGAAGAAAAAAAAAAGGGAGAGAGAGAGAGAAAAAAAAAAAAAAAGGGTACTGACTGCCTAGCATTGGACAGGAGTGTTCAGTAAATATTCAGCTCCCTCATGCATGTCTCTGCATTTATCAATCTATCGAAACAAAGCAAAACAAAACAAAACACCTCCATGCAATGTTAGGCATGCATATTTAAATACAGGCAGGGAAGAAGTGAAGTGTCATCTTCAGATACCATGAACTCTTCTGCACAGCCTGCCCTCTGGGGGGGTGGGGGGAGGGAGGCTGCAGCTCAAAGCCTGGCAAATCTGAAATATAGCACATTGTACATTCCACAGAGGTGAGTTATTATTGGAATGAGAATATTTCTGCTTACTCCCTCTATGATTTGGTCTTTGCATTTTAAGCCTTAATATTATAGTATGGTAGCTTTTGGTCTTTAATTGCTCTGAACTTTTGTTAACATTAAAAGAAGAGAGAAAATGGAAAGGAAAATAAAACTGTATCTGTATTGTTTTGGAATTGTAGAATTGTATATTTTTGCCACTCCATTAGTTTTCAGTTATTCCAGTCTATAAACCTCTCCCCCAAAACCACTGAGAAAAATAAGTCGGTCATCCTGTTATTGCTGCAAAGTTTGCGGAACTCCAAACTCCCTTCCCTAGTGTTCAAGAGAATTATGTAACGTTTAATTTAATGTCTATTTTTTAATTACCCCTTATGTGGGAGACCCTGAGTCACACAAGTGTTTGGTTGTCTCCTTGCTTTTTCAAAAAACATTCTTTCCCTCCAAGAGGAAAAGACCTTTGAAAACTTAAGCATCAGTTATTGAAGTCAGTCAGAAGCAGAGTTTTCCTTTTACTTGTGGCACTGCCCCACCCCAGTTGCTCCATGCTCACAGATGACCTCAGAGCCTCAGCTCACGCTTTCCAAAAATAAAACTTCACCTAGATGCTTTACCACACCCCAAAATTGACTCCAAAACCTCTTAGCAAACGGTTTCAAAGAGTGAAAAGGAGCACTGTATAACCAAGGTATTTCACTGTAACCATGGCTACAGGTTTTATACAGGATGTGGTCAGATCGGATATGCACAGACGACAAACAGAAGTGTGAGTGTGCACCCATAAATCCTCCAGCTCCTAATGACCACGTTTCATAAAGACAAGGCAGAAAGAGAGAGGAGGCATAGGAGGGCAGAGGGCTGCATCAGTCAGGGAGCTCGATGTTCTAATTTCAGCTCTAATTCAGCTTTTTAATATAACACCGCAAAATACCACTAGCTTGCATTTGGATTGCAACTTTCCTTCTCGATGTTCTTTCCCATCTCTTTTCTGTTCTTCACAACAATCTTGAGATATCCAGGATGGGTAATAACCTCATTTCTCAGATGAAGAAAATGCTCTGAAAGCTTAACTGATTTTGTCTGGGGTCGAAGGCGTGGTGGACAAGTGAACCAGGACTAAAACTAGGTCCTTGGACTCCTCGTTTAATATTCTTTCCACTGTGTCGTCCTGTCAGCCTTTTATATTGTGCCTGGGAATATTTGGATATTTACTAATTCCACTTCCAAACATCCCTCATCTGCATCATTTGTCTGATTGGCCACAGACCAAGGTCAGTCAATCCCACTGAAGATTACAGCTGTGAAGTACGGCTTGCCTTTTGTTCTCACAAATATGTTTTGAGATCCCTGTATGGCTTTTCCCTTCATAGATTACAGCACAGAAAACAGGTAATATAGTCCCTCTTCCTGAGGGAGTTTATAAGCCAGGGCTGCAGGGGATTTTTGCTTGTTTGTTTTAATTTATCTATTTATTACCTATACATGAGTGAGAGAGACAAAGAGAAAGAAATAAAGACACAATGACCATAACAAGGCCTTGACACTGCAGTCCACCCCCACCTCAGTCAGCCCAGATCGTGGGTACACATGCCTAGCACACTCAGGGTGCTCTCTAGTTATGAGTCCATAACTCTTCATGTGGATCTGCCGGGCAGATCATCCCATTTTACTGCTGTACCACCCAGGCCACCAGTTTAAATGCCCCCAGAAACCAGGTGGGTGAATAGTGAAGCTGGCAGGGCAGGAGTTGGAGTGAGGGGAGAGGGCAACAGAGAGTGCACAGGCCCTTTTAAAGCTCCAGCAGATAGTAGTTGGGGGGAAGTTAGTGTGGCTGTGGACTGGCTTTAACTACTGGGCTGTGGTGAGCACTCACTCAAAGGAGTCTGATGCCTGAGGGTGCCAACACTCACTGTCATATGTCATGACATTATACTTCTCTTCCAGTGTGTTAGGCCCTATTAATGTGTGAGTTCCTTGAGGTCATAAGAGACATCTTAATCATGAGTATATCCACAAGCAGTGGCCCACAGGGCAGGCTTTCAGGTGTTGGTGGATGAACGATTGAGTGGACACTCCATCTTCCCAGAAGGCATTAACCTCTTGAAAATGGCAGCATAAACAGAATGGCTGTAGCCAGCTCTTTGGACTTAGATAGGACTAGATTCGAACCTCATTGGTCTGCACGTAAGCAGCTCCTTGGGCTTGGGCAAATTACTTAACAATCTCCAATGGTTTCCATCTCTGTATAATAGGGTTAAAAAGGCCTACCTCTTGAGTTGTTGGCTGAGACCCTGTCTGTCAACATACACACTTAGTAAAAACTCAACAAATGGTGGCTTTTTACTTTAACAGATCATTCCCTGTTCCTGTGAAAGGTGATAAGACATTTTGTCAACCTTCCTTTTTGAGTTTTTGGCCTCCTGAAGTAACTAAGTCAAAAGAGACCTGTCAAAGGAAAACAAGTGAGCATTCTAGTTGAAATGAAGAGGAGAAAGTTGATAGCAATGGGCAAAGCAAGGCTCCCCTAAGAAACCAGATGCCAGAGGTCAGGAGGGCTGAAAGAGGAAGAAGTCCTGGGGAGTGAATGGAAATAGAAAGGAGAGGCAAATGTGTCTGCCATAACTCCCTAGGAATTGGTTAACTCACTTAAATAAACTAATTCAGTGAACACGTGATCAAATTCTGGCTAGATCAATATTCCTTAATAAATGTATATTTTCACTTTTTACACAATATGAATATGTAATAATAAGCCGAGTGCTTTAAAGTTTTCAAGGTAATTTTAAGACACTCACTGTGTGACATTTACTTACAGTACATGCTTCACATGACCTCGTTTACTCCAACCAGCTATGTATTCATTCATTCATCCATTTAGCAAATACTTCCAGCTCACTTTCTACCAGGCACTGTGCCAGATACTCAGGGTGAAATAATGGAGCACAGTGGATAAAGCTCCACCCTCTGAGAAAGATACTAATATCTCTATTTACAGAAGAGAATACTGAACTCATAACGCTTTAGTGAACTTTCCTCAGATCCCACACTGTGTTAGTGGTGGAGACAAAACCTTGGCTATGAATTTTCTAGTTATTTATAAAGACAAAAAAGTAGAAAATTGAGGCCAGCAGGTGGCATGGTGGTTAAAGGCACTAGACTCCCACATGGCTAACCATAGTTCAAATCCCTGGTGACTTGCTTCCTCACTTTCCTGCTCTCTCTTTCTTGTCTCTCTCTGATCAAAACTGGAAGATAATAGTAACAATAATAAATAAAGTTAAATAAAATAATTCTAAAAAAAAAAAGTAGAAAATTTCCTTGATGGGCCAGCCAGTGGTGAAGGTGGCTGAATCTCATATGGCCAAGTGACTCCCACATGGCTAACCATAGTTCAAATCCCTGGTGACTTGCTTCCTCACTTTCCTGCTCTCTCTTTCTTGTCTCTCTCTGATCAAAACTGGAAGATAATAGTAACAATAATAAATAAAGTTAAATAAAATAATTCTAAAAAAAAAAAGTAGAAAATTTCCTTGATGGGCCAGCCAGTGGTGAAGGTGGCTGAATCTCATATGGCCAAGTACACGGTTCAAGTCCTGGACCCAGCAACTTGAAAAACATCCCAGACACTTGTGTATGCCCAAAATCCCAAAGAAAAAACAGAGGAGAAAGGATTGCAGCATGACTATGCCCCACAGGGCAGTGCTATCTCATTCTTACCATGCCCCACACCCCATGCCCTATACCCCACACCCCACACCCCATGCTGAGGCAAGGGAATGATCAATCAAGTGAAAAGAAAAAGAA